TGTTATTGTTATTGTTATTGTTGTTGTATTATTGTTATTTATAATTTGTACAAATAACTTCCCTGTGGTTCGACCCCGGTCTTGCTGGGTTATTTATTACTTCGACACTCCTACACTTGGGAGAAGACATCAATCTTTTAGTCGTGTCAGTATCCTATTTTATTATTTTGAAATATTTATTAAATCAATTGCGTGTATACCTTTTATTCATGTATATATTATTAATTTATATTTTCACATATAATTGAAAGATTCTTTTAATTAAAAATATTAATAGTAGTAGTATATATATATAATGTTACACGCAAATGTTTTAGTAATTATTATTTTTAAGATTTTAGAAAGATTTATCCTCCCTATTAATTATTATATTTTGAAAGATATTTCAATTCATGTCTCTAATTGTTTACTTGCAATAAATTATTTTATATGATTCTTAAATTATAAAAATTAATTTAATTTATCATTATTTGACAATCAAACTTATTTATTTAATAAAAAATAAATCTATTCATTTATGAATTATTCTAAACAATCTGTTAAAAAGTTAATTTATCATAAATTATTTAAATAACATAAGTGAAACACCTTATAACAAACTATTTTAATTGAGAAATCCTATATTAAATGGAGTTGGATAAGAATTAGTTATTTATAGTCTGTTTGGCTCTACGGCTGCGGCTGCGTTTTATTTAAAACGCAGTTGTAACTGTTTGGTTAAAGAAAAAAAAGGCATACTGTTCATTGGGTCTCATTTCTTTTCTGCGTTCGAAACGCAGTATTTGAAAAGTAAGAATTCCTTGCACTTAAAAATAGTGAACAGTGCAATTCTCTTAAACTATTCACTTTGCATTGCGTGGACATTTTTTTTTGTGTATTAATTTTTTTAACATGTTTTCTTAAAAAAATAGTTTAGAGTGAATTTTATACATGATAATATTTTATTTAATTTTATTACACTCTAAAAAATTGTGGAATCTTGTTGGATATATTTAATAGCAATAGTTAAATTCATAATATTTAAATTAAAAATTATCAATATTAATATTAATATATATTTTTTAAATTATTTTATAATCTTAATTTTAAAAGCATTCTAAATCAAACGCATTAAATTACTTTTTCTTCAACTTCAATTTCAATCACAATTTTAACCAAATACCTATTTTTTCAAACCAACCTCAACTAAAAGTATTTTTTATAAAACAACTTTTTTCAAACCACAACCACAACAGCTACCGCAATACCAAACACATTTTTAACCCATTTAAAAACACAGCCCAAAGTAAATAAAATTGTTTTTACAATTCATTTTAGTTCCTAAACGTTTTCAAAAAGTTAGATAAATATGAATTGATAAATAAAATATGAATTGAGTATAATATCTATTTATGAAATAAATATATAAAAAATAGATAGTTATTAAAATATTAAATATACATGTCAAACACTACCTATAAAGCTTTTCCATTATTAAAAGTGCTGCTAAGGTCATGTCAAGTGGTGTTTTTTTTTAAAAAATTATTTATTTGAATAGCATATTGTTTAATCTCATGTATATAGCCAATAATCTTATTTTTCTAAATCACATTAAATATCAATGCTACGTATGATTTAAAAATATTAAATTATGACATTAAATGTATCTATACTAAATAATCTCTAGTGATTATTATGATTGTATGTATAAATTATTCATGATATCTTTTGTGTTTAGAAATCATGTATATAATGTTTTAATTATGTGTTTATTATTATTAAATGATTTTATATAATGTATTTTGGTCTAGAGTAAACCACTGATAATTTTATATTTCTTTCTAATATTTATATTATTTAATAAATTTGTATGGCCAACCAACCAAAGCAATAGTAATTGGTCCAGGGCCTTGGCTATGACAAATCATAGTTTACGACTATGGTTGCATGGAAGGCTTTTATTTAATTATTTTTTTTTTGTTAAAAAGAAAATTTTAAACTTCATTACTAATTTGTTTAAGAGGGTTTTGAGGGATATGGAAGGGAAATGTGAGTTTAAGATCCTCCATCTTTGTTTGACTTTCAATGCTCATACAAGAAAAGGTGAGGGATAGGAGGGTTCAAATCCCTCAACTAATTAAAAATATTAATACCCTGAATTGGGATGTTAAGGGGGTTAAAATTATTATAAAATATTCTTAACTTAAAATAAAAATATTACTTTCATTAATTAAGGATTTTTCTTATAATTTATTAATTAATCTTATTTTTCAAATTTTTTTTATTTTCATTCTCTTTGCATATCCAAACAAGATAAAGGTTGATTTTCAACCATCATGCCTTCTTATACTTACCATTACTAAACCCTAACCCTTTTACATGGATGCTAATTTAATTTTATTGTAATTAAAATAGATATTTGTCAAAAACAACAATAATTCAAATTTTGTAAAAAAATATGTATTCTATTAGGTGATTTTTTTATTCATTATTTTTTTTTATAAAAATATATATTTTTTAATTAGTAACTTGTTTTTTGAATAAAAAACTAAAGGCAATTAAATACATATTCATAAAAAATTTAATCATTTGAATTAAGAAGGAAAAATATAACTTTTCAATCAAGACTTCATTTCCTTGTTCATTTAATTTTTTTTTGGTGAAAACATGATTTTCTTTTTATAAAAATCATTGTTTTTTAAAAAAGAAGGATCTAAAAAACTAGTTTCATTCAAAAATAAAACAATCATGACTCAATTATATGTATGCAATAGAGGAATAGATAAAATATTAATTATTCTAAAACAATTAAAAATAAACTAAATAAAATAAATAATTTATTCTCATGTAATATTCATAAGCGTATTGTTTCATAATTTTTTTAGTTTAGGTACATATATATAATAATTCACATAGTAATTGATAATATTATCATAAAAAATATAATCCTATTTGAAAAATATGGCAAAATTAAATAATAGTTTAAGTATTTTGTTTATAGTTAATTTTACTTAAAATAAAAAAGTAAGGTTTATGTAAAAGTCAAAAGAGATATAAAAGAAGGCTAGGTGTTAGGGCTAGAAAGATGGGCTTGTGTGCCTAGTACAAAAATTAAGCCCTTGTGCGCCCATACCGGTAATGTCATGCCACCGTCCCTTGCCTCCATATCTTAAAGGGTGAATGATGAAGTCCCACCCTAATAAAATGGACAATGAATGGTTTTTTATGATAAATGAAATATCATTATCTAATTTAAATTTAGCCATTAAAATCAAGTGTTGGATTTTTAGATTTAAAAAACTTATTTTTAATTTATTTTTGCCTAAAAACATTTAAAAATAGCATGCTAGGGTTAATGGAAAAGGCAAAATAAAAAAATAAAAACTAATTTATTAAGCTTTTCTCTCCTAATTTTGCAACATCAAAAGAATAGTCAAATGAAATGTTAAAATAACTTTTTTTTATCAAAGAAAAACAATTCCTATATATCAATCAAAAAAGCAAAAAAAATTAAAATGGATTATTTAAATCTTCATTCTTTCATCATCAAAACGTTTTTTAAAAAATAAAAGTATTAATATTAAATATATTTAAATACAAACGGATTGTTAAAATAATTTTTCTTTATATGAATGCACATAAGGAAAAAAAAAACTATATTTAGCCTAATTAATAAGCTATATCAAAAATTTGACTTTTCTAAATAATTTGTTTTCTTATAAACATAAAGTATATATATTAAAGAATTTCAAATTCAATATTAAAAAGATATTATGTTATCTTTTTAAGTTAAAATATTTAAATCAAAATTTTTTTATCCTACATCGAAAAAATATAATTTTTTTTCTTATAAACATAGAGCATATATATAAAAGGGCTTCAAATTTCACATTTAAAAAATAATTTTTTTTTAGGAATATAGAGTGTATATATATATATATATATACTAAAGGGTTTCAAATCTCATTTTAAAAAATTAAAATATTTTTTTAATATTTATATAGTAAGTGTTAAAAAATATTAATAACCAACTAAAAAATATAAAAAAGAGAGAGATATAAAAGAAAAACTACATTTAAAAAAGAAAAATAAAAAAATAACATCGGGTTTCATCCAGATTTGTTCGGGTCATGAGTTAACTAACAAAAAATTTATTATAAATTATTTAAATAACATACAATGAAACACCTTATAATAAACTTACCTAATTAAAAAATCCTACATTAAATGGAATTAGATATGAATTAGTTATTTAGCCAATTTAAAAACAAAGCCCAAAACACTTGTGGAGTAAATAAAAATTTTGCTACGTTTTAAAAAAAGTTATTTTAATTTATTTTTTTCTAAATAAATCTATTCTTGAAAATTTTTTCCTTTGGTAGCATAAAACATAGTTGTTATTATTTAATAAATTTTTATGTCAAACCAACCAACACAATAGTAACATGTTGGTACTAGGGCCTTGGCTATGTCAAATCATAATTTAAGACCATGGTTGAATGTTTTTTTGGTTTATTTTAATCCTTAATTGTTTTTATTTTTATAACTTTCATCTTAAATTGTATCTCGTAAACAATTTTAGTTAATTTGATTCTGGAATTTTCTAAAACTGTACATACATGATTTTATGTAAATAAATGCAAATGTCAACGTATAAACAATTTTAACATAATTTAAAAAAATAAAATTAAAAAAAAATATTTGATAAAAAAACTCTTTTCATTATTTCAAGTAAACTCTAGTTGAATATTGTTTTAGATGTACCAAAACTTATTTAAACTAAGGGTTATTTGAACAATAGTTTAAGATCTTCTTTTAAAAAAAGTTTAAATATATTATATTTATCTATTAATTTTTATAAAATAAAAATTATTTCCACTGAAAAAAATTACTCTACATAGAAAATAAAATAGTTTAGATGTCCCTTGTTAAATATATATATATATATATATATATATATATATATATATATAAAATATTTTTTTAAATTATTTATAAGTTTTCCTAAAAACTCTTGCTTTATACCCTAAGCGAGGATTATGGTTATGGGTGTGAGCTTAAGGAAAAAGTGAAGGAATGGTGTTAAGAAAATCAAAAGTTAATAACGTATATTAAAAGCTAGTTGGGTTGGAATCTTGAAGCAGAAGAAGAGAAATGGAAAACACAAAAACTGATGTAAATGAAAAAGAAGAGAGTGTAGTGTTGGAAATTCCACTAGGAGACGCAGCAGACACTTTCAACTTAGAGAAAGCAGTGTGCAGCCATGGCTTATTCATGATGTCTCCCAACCTTTGGGACCCTCTCTCCCTAACATTCTCGCGACCTTTGCGTCTCTCTCTATCTGATTCTGATCCTCAAGTTTCCACTCCCACTACTTCACTCTTTGTCTCCATCTCTCACCCTCCTCACCTCCCTCGCTCTCTCAGCGTCCGCGTTTATGGCACGCGTTTTCTCTCTCCAAAGCACCAAGAATCACTGGTGGCTCAGGTGGTGAGGATGCTGAGGTTGTCGGAAACAGATGAAAGGAATGCAAGAGAGTTTAGAAAGATGGCAGAGGCGGAAAATAATTCTTGGTTGACAGGTTTTGGTGGGAGAGTGTTTAGGTCTCCCACTTTGTTTGAGGATATGGTCAAGTGCATTCTTCTTTGTAATTGCCAGTAATACTCTCCTCTCCACTCTATCTTTTCTTTTATTAACGAAAGTCGAGTCCTTTTTCTCCATGTCTTTGGCATGCCTTGGCTTTGTTTGATAAAATGTCCCTGAGAATAATATGATGGTGTCTTCTCTCTCTCTCTCTCTCTCTCTCTCTCTTGAACAGATGGCCAAGGACTTTGAGCATGGCTAGAGCACTTTGTGAGTTACAGTGTGAACTGCAGTGTAAATCATCTGGTGTGTTTGTTGCTCAAGCTGTGAATGCGACTGTCAAGAATAAATGTAATGACACTGCTCATAATTTTATTCCGAACACTTCTGCTGGTAAAGAGTCCAAGAGAAATATCAGAGAATCTAAAGTTTCAAAAAACTTAGCAAGCAAGATTGTGGAAACAGGAACCCTCTTGGAAGCTGATGCTAACTTGAAAACAGATAGTGCCCATATTGGAAGAGAAACTCTGGAGAGTGTAGAAAATGATTCATGTGCAAGATGCATTTCATGTCATGGGTCTGATTCCTGTGCGCCTGATAGTCTTCAATCTCAGCATGGAATACAACCTGGTGTGAACAAGATGATTTGTAATTTCCCCAGTCCAAGAGAACTAGCAAATCTTGATGAAAGTTTTCTGGCCAAGCGCTGCAATCTTGGCTACCGAGCAATTCGAATCATAAAACTTGCTCAGAGTATTGTAGAAGGGAGGATTCCGCTAAGAGAAATTGAAGAAGGTTGTGCTAATGGAGCAAGCTCTTCTTGCTATAACAAGTTGGCTGATCAGTTTAGACAGATAGATGGATTTGGTCCTTTCACATGCGCAAATGTGCTTATGTGCTTGGGATTTTATCATATCATTCCAACTGATTCTGAGACAGTGAGACATCTAAAACAGGTCAGCTTTTGTTTCTACCCCAATGCTCTGTCAACTGTTGAAGATATGCTTCCAATGTCCCATAGCTGTCAATACAGGTGCATGCCAAAAAATCCACCATTCAAACAGTTCAAAGGGATGTTGAAGAGATATATGGAAACTATGCGCCCTTCCAGTTCCTAGCATACTGGTAATTATGGAGTGTGCTGAAGTTTTAATTATTCCATGCCAATATCTTACCCACGTGAATTTCTATGTTCAGGGCTGAGTTATGGCACTTCTATGAGAAAAGATTTGGGAAGCTAAGTGAAATACCAATATCTGATTATAAACTTATTACCGCCAGCAATATGAGAAGTAAAGGTGGTCATAAAAATAAGAGGACTAAAAGATGCTAATGGAAAGCGCCCTTACCTTAAGTTAATTAAGAAAGTAGGTCAAAATTTGTGCTTGTTTTTTGTGCTAATGTAAGAGTGTTATGTGCTTGTTGACTTTCACATCTTTATGTATGACCACACAACTAATGCATATTGTGGCTCTTTGAAAATTTTTCTGTCACCCCATTCAAATAATGTCATCTGATTTGTGATAGTTCTTGTTTAGTTTTCCAGTACTGTAATATTTGTTCTTCATCAATGTGCTTCTTGTGCCCAATGATTTTATACTGCTCTATTGATGCTTATTGTTCATTAATGTAGTTTGCATCATCCCCATGATATATACTTCGATATGACAAGCACCCATCCAATAAAAAATACAGCAACGAAGATCCAACCAACTCCATGGAAGGATGCTATTGTTTTGTATTTTTGTTGAAAATTTGTCTCTCTCTTAGACTTTTGGGAATTAAGGATTATTAGCTGCAGATATATCTGTGACAATGGTAAACATGTACCAGGATGGTATTTACTAAGTGCAGAAGCAAAGTCCAATTCACACCCATTAGAACATGCATTCTACTTACAGCCCTGGAGTACGAGGAAGATGAAAGAGTTCAACATTGCCGTTGACACCAGCCAGCTGCAAGATGCTCTCAAGCTCTTTAACCACCTCATTCATTGTTGGCCTATTGGCTGCCAATTCTTTGACACGCCCAATTGCCAGATCAATAAACTTTTCTACACCTGTCACTGGTGTGCACAGACTAAGAGTGGGATCAAGGATGTATGAATCTTTTGTCTTCTGGTTATCCATTGGTATCTTCACCTCTCTCACAACAAAATACCCATGTTCTATTGGTTTTTGACCGGTAACTAACTCCAATATTTCCACTCCAAAGCTTTAAAACATTGCTTTTCTAGTCAACTGTCCGGTCATGAAATATTCAGGATCCATGTAGCCCTGCACCTTACATGACTTGAACTCCGGGTCTTGACTGAAAATGCAGGAGCGGTAGCATGAGAACATCTCATTTATGCTAAATCTTGAAGCATACATATTATAAAATAAAATTATATAAAATTCATAACATTTCATAAACTTTCAAAAAATTCTTCAAATCCAATAAAATCAAATAATAATCCATAATATTTATTACAAAATTAAAATCCAAACTTTCACAAAAACAATGTAATAGTGGAGCATTTTAAGATATTAAACAAGTTTATAAGATAGAAGCTTCAAGAAAACAAAATATACAAACAAAGTAGCAGAAACTTTTAATTAAAAATCAACCTACTAATTGAAGTTATGAACTTGAAATAATATTAAAATGAAGAGGTGAATTCAATTTATTCAGTGAGGGAATAACAATTAATATACATTATAGATATTTATGAGTATATGCCATCAGTTAAGATAATATAGAAGTAAAAGAACTTAAATAAATATATATATATACATACATATTAAGCATAATAGTGTATGGTAATGAAATACATGGCAGATATCAAAATAAAGCTACAAACTCAAATAACAAACAAAACTTAAGATTCCGGTAACAGATAAGATTTGTAGCCTCAATCATTATGGGAGAATCAGTTGTCATAGGCCAATGTCTCTTTTATCAGCTAAGTATACAGAATAATATATGTACATAGATTAATTACTCTCTGTTAGTATGAAGTTTTTAACAAATATACTCGTATAATTATCAAAGTAAGAAATGTTGTATTGAATAGTATTTATTTTAATAGAATACGAGTGAAAATTTAACAATACATAAATACTCATAAAAATAACCAACATATACACATATTTATTCAAGAATTAACCAATTGAACTCTTCATATAATAAACATATATATATATTATTTATATTACATGCATATTAAATATTATTTTATTCATCCGTAAAATGAAGCAAAAGACAAACAAATGCAGAACCAGAGATTACTGAGAATTATTAGTAGAAATGTCAATATAACGTATAATAGATACAAAAAATACTCACAAAAAAATCAAAGAAAACAATATAAAAAATTAACACTCTAAAATTAGAGATCAAAATGTAATTATAAAGCCAAATTAATTTACCCAATTGATTCCAAAAATACCTTAAACTAGTCAAATTTAACAAATCCTATTAAACTTTACTGTGGGGTCAACCAAACAACTTAAATGACCAACTAGTTGGTCGCCACCACACAAGCCATTCAATTGACTGATTTAGACCAACTGGTTGACCGACAATGTTAAGCCAACCAGTTAACTAGTTTATCAAGATTTTAGAATCCTGATTTATTAGTCTTCAAATCTAAAGATCTAAAAATAATTGACTTGTTATTTTTAAACCTATAATTCCAATCATCTAATCAATTTGTTTTAAGTCAAATAACATCCTAAAATATCAATTAAATCTCTTAAGTTATACAAACATCAAATCATAATACAATTCTCCAATATTTTTTTAATTCATCAACAATCAAATTGCTAATAAAAAACAATAAAAAAAAATACTTAGTTGTTTCTTCAACCCTTCTTGAAACTTAAAAATTTAAATTTAAAACTGCAATCCTTGTATTTTTAAGCGAAGTCATGGTAGAGGAAAGAAAAAAGAAGAAGAGAGGAAAAACAATTATCTGGCAACCTTTTCTTTAAATACCTAAATTAATTTGAGCGGGGGTTCGGGCTGAATTGTAGGTTTTAGCTTGTTGGGACAGCAAATGGATAGTGAAGAAAATACAACCAGTCACATTTTATATTAGTGCGTTACGATATTCAATAAACTTTAGCCTTTAGTCTTTAGAGCTTCTATAAATTTGTTTAATCTTGACTTGTTTTGACGTCATTAATAACTCTTGTTTGACAAGATAATTTAGACTGCTAGCTAGCTAGCACGTGCATTATCACTGGCTTATGTTCTACTGACATTCATCCTGCAAACTTGGGGGAAAAAAGATGGGCTCCGTTATTAATATTTCGAGGCAGCTGGGAACTTGGTCCTGAAAAGACTGCCATTTTCAAATTCTCTTGTTTAGATCGAAACTGTATCCATCGTTTCAGGAGTAAAGATTTAAAAAATACTAACCAGTGACCCTTCGACTCCAGTACAAACCTGGCCTTCAGCATTGTCCAAAGATTTCGATAGACCAAAATCAGTAACTTTTGTGTATGATTGGTGGATTGGCAAGCTCATGCAAATAAGCAATATCTCTAGCTGAATCGAGTGCTATTCTAAGTCTCTTCACCCAACTTAACTGGAAGACCGACTTCACTGCAGGATATTATCGAATGAGAAGCTGAGAACCTGCGACGTTCCCAAAGAAACTTCATTTCTAAGATGGCCAACCTGCATCTACACATGAGATACTCCCCAATTTACTTTTCAACTTTGTCACTGATATGTTACTGTAAGTTTTATTCTGTTGTTGTTGGAATTGCACTGTATGCTGATGTGATTAGGTTATGCAGTTTTGTTGTCTTCAGTGTTTTATGGATAATAATAAATATTCTGTAAAGAATGCAACTTGATTCAATTTTCATGAAAAGCACAATTGAGGTCTCAACAAGTACTTTCTTTTGTTGTAAGAAATGTGAAGATACCTGAAAAACACAACCTGTTAGACTACAATTTTTAATTCAACTTACTCTTGACTGATAACAGAAATCTAAAAAGGCTGACTAGATTCTTGTGATGAACCCTTGAAAGAAGCTCAAGCACAGTTTTGAACTCAAGACTACCCTGCGATGATCTCTTTTAATGCCAACTAGCACACCAGTGGGAAGAGTTCCTTTGTAAACCTGAGAACACATTGCAAATTGAGTGCAAAGAAAGAGGTAAAAAAAAAAAACATAGAGAGGATTGTCATTAATGTTGAGTGCACAGTTACAGTTTGGACTCTGAATTTGTTGCGTACGCAATTTTCTGTCGGTGTAGAAGATGAAGAATGTGGCTGTTGGGAAACTTTGCAGCATTCTGATGATTGCATCTTCTTACAAACGGAATACCATGAAGCCTGAAAAGTGAAGACAGTTGCACAGCATTATATTTGAATTGATACAATGATGATAGACACCGGATCCTATATATATGTTTTTATATTTTTCATTTGCTCATAGTTTTTTAGTTTTTAGGGAAAAAAAAAACACAAATGAAGTGACACAATTCTTCTAATATTATTGCTATCAATATTGTTGAAAAAAATAAATCATTTTGAGACCTTGTGTTTGCATTATCGAAAAATTAAACTGTGTAAATAATTTGACAAATTCTACCCTATGTTTGTTTCATTTAGATAATTCAATTCAACTTCCATCAATTTTTAACAAACATCCATATCTTATGGGGAAAATATTAGTCAAATGGCACACAATGTTTTACTAAAATGCTCTGCGATAATAATAATTATAAAAACAAACATTTTTAAAATTTTACAATTCTTTTTCTTAATAAAACATATGTAGGATATCATTTTTTGAAAATGACTTCTTTTAAATTTTTGAAAATGATTTTCTTATTTAGGGTAAGATATTTTAGTCAAAATTTTCTATCATGTTACTTTGTTTTCACTAAATAGATGACTAGCACTCCATTTTGAGTTGTCTTAGAGTTTTCCTAATGTAAAAAAAATGTTTAGGCAATAATAACTTGACCAAACCTAGATTAACTTATTCAACAAGTAACTTATGATATAAGATTGAGATAACTCAATATAAAAAAAATTAAAAAAAATCACAAAACTCAAGGCCTAAAATTCTAATATCAAAGAATGAAATTGACAAAAAAAATCAATTTAAAAAAAGTAATGTTAAAGAAAAAACTCCAGATAAATATGGGTTAACTTGATTAACTTGTAACCCGTGATATGAGATTAGAAAAAAAAAATTAAAAAAAAACTAGCAAAAAAAACAGAGTTAAATAAAAAAATATTGAAAAAAAAACTCGACTTGACTTGACTATCTTGCATTTGAGATAACTGAATAGAAAAAAAAAGAAAAGACATAAAGCTCAAGGATCAATAACATAATGTCAAATAATAAAATAAAAAAGGAAATCAATTTCATAAAAAAATTCAAAAAAAAAATATTCGAGTTAACTTAACTAACCCATAACCTATGATATAAAATCGAGGTAAACTCAAAAAAAGGCAAGTGAAGCAAAGAACAATACTCAAGACCTAATAATCTAATATTGAATAATTAAATTAAAAAAATATCAATTTTTAATAAAGGATCTAAAAAAAAAACTTAAACTTAGCAAATATTTAAACTATTGACCCAAGACACAAGACGAAGATTAGTTTAGCAACACCAGGTATTGATGTTGCCTCTACTGACAGTGGCCACTAGCTATGCGTGTAGCAAAACTTGGCTCACCAGCCACATTGATAGATATACTGCCTCTACTTTTTCTTTTTCTTTTTAATTTCTAGCATATTCAAAAAATCTAGCCAAATTTTACCAAAATAGTAGCTAAAAGGATTTTATTTTTAAATCATGAGAAAAAATTACTTTTGGGAAAAATACTTTTCAAAAATAAAATTAATTTGTAATTATCTCCAACAAAAATTCAAACATGTAATCAACAACCTTAATTATTTAATAAATGCTCTGATATTAGTGTTAGGTTTCTTAAAAGGCATACAAGCAAAACAGATGGTAAATTTAAAATTTTTGAAGAGTTTCAAGGATCCATTTGGACACATCTAGAATTTTTTTAATGTTTATATAAAGATTAATTGAAGATAAGATGTTCTTTTATGCTTCAAATAATTGCTTCAAGGTTGGGTTATTGCAAACCACAAGTTATCTAAATGTTTGGCCTCTAATAGTAATCCATATGAATTATCCATAAGAAATCTCTTAAACTCTTTTAGGAGAGATGAATTCTTATACCTTTGAGTATTAGCTCTTTTATTTTATGTTTAGGTATTTATGCATTAAACACTACTCTCAAAAAATAAAAGACACAACTTTCTATTTATAGAGAAACCTAAAAAACTTTATAAATAAAAAATATTAATTTTTTCCTTAAATAATATCACATATAGTGTTTTAGACCAATTTTAGAAATTTATTCTTCCAAGTCATTTATTGTTTCTAAATCTAGAATTGTAATCCCCTGTGTTAATTATATTTTAGTTCTTAATTTCTAAAACTTATTTACAATTAAGTCACACTTGATTAACAATTGTCATTTTAATTTATAACTAATGGTTCTTATATATGTGACCTATTAGGTTTCCTAATAATTTTGGTGAAATATAAATCATAATCCTAAATAAAATAAGGTTAAATAAATTAAACAATTTAATTTGTTATCAATTCAATAATTGATTGACTTATTTTTGAAGATCAAGTAAAATGTTTAACAACCTGTTATGTTTCTTTAAATATTAAAAAATATATAAGTGGTTTGACTTAACATTTTAGTGATGAGTTTCTCAATGTAACTACTATCACTTAATCAATAATGTTATGATTTAGACATTATAACATAGAGTATCTCTACTTTGTTAAATCATTTTAATTCTCAACACTATTATTAACAATTAGAGGAAAATAACGCTTTTAAGGAAAGGGGAAAAAAAAATCTTTGGAATTCAAATGGAGGAAAGAACAAATAAAAAAGAAAAGAAAGAGAAGAAAAAATGGTCGCCGACACTATTAATGGGAAAATTAGTTGCCTCTCGCCATCTCTATTGGATGTTGCCATCAAGTTGTTTTTGGAGACACCAAGGAAGACAACTTTTGGAGATTGAAGGACGTCGTATATGCCACCACAATGTTGTAGGTCCTCCGACATGCGAGTGTGTGTTTTCCACATGCAAGCTTTTTTTTCCCTTTCCATTAATTTTAGTCTTTAAATGTATAAGAACCCATCAATTAATTTCAAATTTTAATCTACCTAGGTCCAAACCCTTTTCTTTTAATTTAGTCTCAAATTATCTAATAACTCTTCAATTTAAATCATAATTTCACGCATCCCAAAGCCTGATGAAGGTCCAACCAGGGAGAGAGAAAAGAACAAGGTAAAAAAAAAGATAGTCAACTGATCGAGTGAGCACATTGTGATCGTGCACATCACTCAAGTGCACGGGTTGACCAAGAGTACTTCGATATGTTTTTATCTCAAATTATAATAAGAAAATATGTCATACTAATTTATTTCTGAAAGTTAACTCATGTTTTTATCTATCATCAAAGTTACCTTTGGCCCATCAAATCAACATTATTATATCAGGCAAACTTACATTATGTTGATTTAAAACTCAAACTATGCAAATAATTAGGGTGACGGGGGTTCAAGATTGATTTGCTTGGCCAAACTTAGTGATAATTCAAAGAGTTCCTCACTGCTTGCTTTTTTTTAGTGAAATTGAATTTCACCTAGTTCTTCTTTTACCATATAGGAGATTACGACTAATGATTACAAAAGAAAAATTATAAAGATTTTAATAACACCTAATTTGTGCCTAATCTAATCTTAAATTGATGTGATATATTTTTCTGTTACGTAATCTAATCTTAAATTATAAAGACTTTACTAACACCTCTAATCTTTAAAAATTGCATCTAATTTTAAAAATGCACCTGATCTCAAAATTTGATCATCGCTTCTAGCTCTGACCTTTCTAAACCTAATTTTTTTTCTTAGTTCTATTTAGAAGAACTTTAGAACATAGTTTTGGTGTTTGCCAGATTAGTTTGTTAGGTTTCATTTATACACAGCCAAACACACACTTCTACTCTTAAGTTTAATTGATTAATAAGTCCTCATGGGAAGGTTGTCATATGCAAAGCTCATTGCCATACTTAACGACTCGTGGCTATATGGTGAGTTTTAGACAATCATCTAGGACACTAGATCCATTTTCATTGGTCAGCATTTACACCAAAATCACTTTTCTTGATAAGGCCTTCCCTATATAATACGCTATAATCAGAGATGAGCTACTAGGAATTGTTGGAGAGGTATATGCTAACATTGATTCTAGTGTATTGTGACATGATTAAAAGATTGATGTCTTCTTCTAAGTGCAGGAGTGTCGAAGTAATAAATAACTCGGCAAGACTGGTGTCGAACCATAGAGAGGTTAATTGTACAAATTATAAATAACAATGATACAATAACAATAACAACAATAATAATAGTAGTAGTAATAATAATAGTAGTAGTAGAAGTAGTAGTAGTAACAACAATAATAATAATAATAAAGAAAAAGAAGGAGAAGAAGAAGATGATGATGAGAACTTTGAGATGTAATATTAATATAAAGATTAAACAACGATAATAACAAATGTCAAGGTTAGAGGTTCCACTAATGGTATGTCAAACAAATATAGTATAAACTCTTATTATTCAATTGGAAACCACACACAAAGGAGGTTCTAATCGGTGAGAAAAGATCTGCATCAATATTTTCGGTGCGTTTTTCATCCGTGATTTCTTACTCAGAGTAAATCATTTGTAAATCTTCAGATTCATCCAACTCATTTTTACTTAAAGTAGATTCAAGTTGATCATAAACTAATTCGTCATATGATCTACTTCTTATAAATCATTATCATCTCCAGGTTACTTGCAAATGTTGAAAATATTCATCTCTAATGTCATGTTTCTAAATGATAGCTTCATCAGTCCATTCCTACAATTAATCAATGCGTTAGAAGTTGCAAGAAACGGACGTCCTAAAATAACAGGAAATGAATTACATGCTTCAACAGGTTGTGAGTCCAAGACAACAAAATCCACAGGATAAATGAATTTATCAACTTGCATTAACATATCTTCGACTATTCCTCTAGGCACTTTCACAGATCTATCGGCAAGTAAAAGAGTTATAGAATTTGGTTTTAACTCACCTAGATTGAGACTCTGAAAAACTGAATATGGAAGTAAATTCACACTAGCACCAAGATCAAGTAAAGCTCTTTCAATTTTATGCTCTCCAATAAAGCAAGAAATTGTAGGACAACCAGGGTCTTTATATTTCAAAGCATTATTGTTCTGAAGAATAGCACTTACTTGTTCGGCTAGAAAGGCTTTCTTTTTCACATTCAGTTTCCTCT